ATAAAAGAATATAAATTAGATTCCTGTGGCTCAGAATAGAGACTAGTAGTTGTTCTTGTAAACACAGTAGTCAACCTACGGTTTCCTTCTAGTACTGCGAACTTCTTAAGTACTGTCTCGACTGTTAGTTTATCAGCAATGATTCAGTTCCATGGAATCAGTAAGTTACTTACTTAATTCTTCAGTTATAGCTGCTCATACAGGTGCCTCTTCTAAAATATAAGTTAACTTTTATTTTTGTGGTGGTAATTTTCCCCTTTATATTTTTATCCTTAAAAATCCCCAATAACAATGAATTTTAATATTCACTCAATGAACATCAATATTACTTATTTTCAGAGGTGTGCAACTTTCTACTTTTTTGGGGGGGGAAAATATATATATCTGTTTTAACGCCCTGTAACACATGTCCAATGCTTTTCTATCCCTATGCAATACGGACGGAGGAGTTCACTAGTATTTATAAAAAAACTCCGTGGCCTGTACTCCGCAAGCGAACTATACCGACCCACCGCCGCTTGTCGGCGAAGTTAGTGAGGACTTTTGCGGATAGAGAGTGTCACATGGTCAGCGCAACGGACCCCCACGGTCGTTAATCTCGGTTTTCTAGAACGCACTAATATTTATAGCCACACAAAATACCAATAATAAATTTTTTAAATGTATTTCGAGCAATAATAATCACTGTTCTTTATTATTCCTACGATTGATTCACAAAACTGAATAAAAAACACACCTAAATAAACCCTTCCTCATTACACAGTTCTATTTCTTAGTATTTTCTATGGTTTTCTTTCCCTTGCAGTCTGGCTTCTGATCTATTCACTTATGAAGGCAGTCAAAGTTGCCGCAAATCAAATCATTCAAGGCATAAGACTATTTGTGTTTCCCGCATGGCATAAAACCTAATTCATGCATAAACTATATATCTGACAAAGAATTATTTCAGGAGAGATGTCAAGAAAAGGTTCTTTTTGTCGCTTTGTAGTAGCTATTTGTCTCTCTCAAGAAGACTTCCGCCACGAATTTCAAGTACAAGGCTTCGTAACGGTGAACGTCTAGATGACATATGACGAGTCAAGAACATTATAAATACGGCAGAACTACTGAAGTTTTTACATAACAACAGATCTAAGTTCGGATATGCACATTTTAATGGCTTCCTTGTGAATTACAAACATCTTACTAACAATGTGCGAATTTAACGGTTTTCAGATGCATTATTATTATTATTATTATTATTATTATTATTATTATTATTAACTTATATGTGTATGTGCATGTGTTGTCCTTTCTCGCCACAAATGGCATAACCATTTGAAATATACTTATTTTATTTTTCTCGCCTGTTAAAACCAACTTCAATTTTTCTTGGTATTGTTATTAATTTATTGCTATTATATAGACTGTAAAATGTTGTATTTTGCTCTTTAATTATTTTTGTGTATTCTATGTACTTGTGCTAACTTTGTAATTGGCCTCTGTGCTGTTAAGTTTGCACGTAAATAAACACGAATTGAATTGAATTTGTTTATCTTTTTTTATGGGTTTTGTGGTATATTTTATTTCTTTACTAGTACTCACTTTGTAATCGGCCTCTGGACTATTACGTTTGCACTTAAGTAAATTAGAATTGAATTGGATTATTCGACAGAAATTGGTTTGATTGAAGCGCGCAGGATGTACCATGTTCTGTACTACGTGCCTACATATTTATAAATGTAGAGCCACATGTCAGATATAACTGTGTAGGCAATCTGTGCCACATACTACTAAATGTTTTTATTCTAATGGGTTACAGCCCTTTAATAACTGGCGAGAGACGGCGCATCATTGAATGCGGATGTTCTTTGGTAGTTTACGGTGTCTGATGCAGCTATGGATACCCTTTTGGTTGGCTCCAGTGGACTTCAGAATCATTGAAACGGTTTACTCTACAAGTCTACTACAGCATGGTTGCAAAATTACACAGGCAGATCCAATTAAGGATATATGACTCGTTACATTTTCTTAGTAAATTAAAAAAAAGGAAAGCTATCCCTGTATTAGGCCGTGGAGGCCCATAGTTTTGTGAGATGTTGAGGTTCCCACATTTTCTAGACAATCGGCTCATAGCTGGCGGCAGGGTTGTCAGCCTTACGCGCCGGCCGCCCTTTACCCCCAAGAATATTCCCGGTACTCATTTCTGTCAGAGGCTGAGTCGACCCCAGGGCCATAGTGCGGCTGGAAGGATTAGGTCAATTGAAAATATCCAATGATCTCATCGGGACTTGAACCCGCGACCTTCCGGCTTGTAGCATAGTGCTGCGCTACCAACTACGCTACCCCTTGCCCCTACATTTTCTTAGTACCGGTACGCTTTATATCCTGTTGTTAATTTTTAAAGTTGACCTTGGTTTTAAATTCTGTTCTCCTTTCGAAGTGTTGGTTTTCCGAGTTCCTGCTCGGTACATCGAAGTCTTTGCTTTGTTTAAGGTCGGCTACTCAAGTAAATCTTGTCCCTCTTATAGATGCGTTTCAGCTTCTAATGTCCTAATGTTGTGTGCAAGGACACTGGATTATTTGGAGCCAAAGTTGCTTTTCTTAATCATATTCTACAACAGTTATTTCTTCATATTAAAGTAACTCATTAATTGTATGCAATGTGAATGTATGTATATACATTTCTTCTTGTCGCAATATAGCTGGTGGAATTAACTTACTGAAATTTTATTATTGTCCAAGCTGCTTTGTTTTGTTTTTGTTTGTATGTATGTTCTTNTTATAATAAACACGGTTCTTGCAGTCATTAAACACTAATTGTATTCCTTGTAAATATATATATATATATATATTACTTTTCCTTCTTCTAAACATTAACATGTATTTATATTAATGAAATTATTATCATTATTATTCAAATGATGTAAGTGCCCATTCTGTATTATCTTTGTATGTGCTCTGTTTACTTTTCTTTACACGTAATCACTCTTCAATTGGCCTTTGGATCTGTTAAGTTAGCATGTAAATAAATAAGAACATAATTAAATTACTCGAATTTAAATAAGTCACGTGGTTCCTTATGCGTGGTTTGCTATTATTTTTTACTAATCGTTGTTTCTCTAATCTAATGGATTACCTCATTTTTCTTTTCCTAAACGGTTTGTTGCTTTCGTCCTTTCTTGGGTTATTTTTCCATGTTTTCAGCAGCTACATTATACAGCGTCCATAGCATATGAGATTAATTGGAAATAATTTTAAAGGGGGGGGTCGTGGCCTATTTCGAGCTACTATCAAGATATTTGCCTGGAAGAACTAGGAAAAATACGAAAAATCTCCGTCATGTTTGCCGATATTCAGATCAAGATTCGAACCCAGTACCTCCCAAATACACGCCTAGAGCATTACCGCTAGACCAGCCCATTTGATATTGTCGTTGTTGCTGCTGTTATTTTTAATATTTTTGACGCTGTCGCGGCCGAATATCATGATTATCATTATTACTATGATAATAAAAAGTAACAATTGTAAACTGGTATATTTTCATATATTAATATTTACAAGTCTATATGCAAACAGAATATTTTTCATGGGCTTAAAATTGGGGGGGCACGCTACAAGCCGGAAGGTCGCGGGTTCAAGTCCCGATGAGGTCATTGGATGTTTTCAGTTGACCTAATCCTTCCAGCTGCACAATGGCCCTGGGGTTCACTCAGCCTCTAACAGAAATGAGTACCAGGAATTAACTAAATAATGTTCCTGGGGAGTAAAGAGCGGCCGGCGCGTAAGGCTAACAACCTTACCGCCATTTTTGAGCCGATTGTCTAGATAATGTGGGACCCTCATCGTCTCACAACCCTATGGGCCTTCACGGTCGGGTACAGGGATAGCTTTACTTTTTTTTAAATTAAAATTGTTGGATTGAAGAACAATATTCAGAATCTTTCTAATACAATGACATATTTCTAAAGGACATTCCACTGAAAGAGTACTTTGTATGTTACATGTACTGAATCACTGGTACCCACAGGCTTAACAGGTGACCCAGTGACTCACCTGTCTACTTTCCTAAAAGAAAAAGAATCTGAAAAAATGCACAATTGTGGGCTTCATAATTTATTCACTTCTCCAAATATTTAAGCTAAGCAAACCAAGGAAAATGGGACGGCAGAGCTTTTAGCCTGCATAGAATATTACTCGTAAAATCTTAAAGTAAAGAGACCTCTAGCGAGACATAGGAACAGATGGGTAACCAACACTGAAAGGTATTTCAAGAAGTTGTGTCAGCGTATTTACCTGTACTCGTAAAATTGTCCGATCGCAGGTTCTCGCGTTCCTTTTAATGAATTTTCGGTGTCCGAAAAGGGAAACGAGGAATGTCTTGACTAGTTGAGCAATTATCAGCTTCTCGAGAAGGATTCTACTCCATGTAGTTAGCTGCAGTAAGACTATGAAACACGGACCTAAAGTATCGCATGCTATCTTTACACAACTGAAATAAGAAACTACGCCGTGTGACTTGCAGTTACTCTATTATGGTAAACTGGAAACAGTACTGCAATGAAGGTCACATTTTAAGCCAATATACTGGAAGGAAGAAGATGTGCGCAGTAAGGGAAGTGTGGCAGTTGTTTCCGTTATTACTAAGACATAAATTCTTTTTCGCGGAGGCTAGCTGAGAGAGCTGGCAGACACGCGGCACAATCGATCGTAGGCCTTGCCTCTCCAGTCCACGTTTTCGCTGTCCGTACGCTCGCACACTGTGTTGCCAATAGTACGCCAGACCTTGATCCCAAACAGCTTCCTACAAAATCTATTCCACCGAACGCCCAGCGTTTCACTGCCTCACCATTATCAAATTAAATACTTCTCATGCCTGTGTAATGATGCATACAACGATAATAATAGATTTGATATTATGAACTAGTAATCAGATTATTAACTTGTTGCTAATTAATATAAACGACTGTACATGAACTGCTTTGAGCAAAGGGTTTTTATTACAATTCATTTTGTTTTACCTTGATGATTTCTTCAAAGATATGGTTCTGTTCCTCCCTTGTTTCAAAATCGTCGATGACGGTGGAGAACAAGAAGACGGTGATGAGTCTGAAGGGAAAGTTTCACAACCGACGTCACAACATTGATATAAAAAATTGTTGTAGTTTTCAAAATAATTTACGTATAGTGTCCGTGAAAGTGACGTCACTTTTACGCAAGTCAGATATGTGAAACCTCAGCTTTTTGCACACAATCTTGAGCGACTATTAGTCAGCCTTTCTGAAAGTCACCCACGTTTGACCTTGACCTAACCTCACTTTGTGGATAAGTTACCAACACTGATCCACCGGCAGGTCAAAGTTCAATACCCGAAGAAGGCGTCACGTTTTCTGCCTAATGTAACCGCCAGCCACGGAGAAGTTTGTGCACTGAATTCAATACGTGTAACAACTTAATGCAAAGTTCATTTACCTGTATTCGGTAAAAAATAGAAATAACGTTTCTTATTAACAATTAATAAAACACTATCCTTCGCCTACGGAAAATTCCAAGTATACTGTTCTAAATATCGATAAACAAACTTCAGTTCATACAACAAAAACGAAGTAATGACAAGAACTTTCTTTCACGTCGGTTAAAAGTACTTAAAAATAAAACGTGCTTATCTTAAAAACGAAGTATTGAGAGTGTATTTCGATGATGATAGTCCTCTTCATCGAAATATTCCCGTAAAAAATTGATTGTGAACACCAAAAAGTAAAAACAGTTCCTCGTAACGGCCACGATAGAACAGGATTTAAAAAAACGAAAGTCAGCACGCTCGTTGTACACAACCATACAACTGAGTTCTGCTCTTGACTGGAACACCACTAGTTCGCGGCGACGCCCGCTAGATGGCTCCAGCTCTGGTAGCTATGGCGACCGCGCAATTCCAGTGGTCCCTCCTACCATTAAATGAAAAAGTTGAAACGCGTGAAGCGCTACTGCGTCTGTGCCAGGAACGCTTTCAGATGAGTCCAGAGAACAAAAGAAAAATATGCATATATAGGCGGCGAGATTCAGGCGCATGCAGAACGCGTGGTCCATGGAAATCACCGTCGCTCTGTCCAAATGAAGGAACCACAATCTTTTTCGAAAGCCTGTCGTTGTTTCTGCCGCATAGAACACACTTCTACGCGTTCTTACAAGTAATATTATTTTAATGTCTGTAAGCTTTAAGATTATATTTAAAATAATGGTATACAATTATTATTTTACTTAAAATAGTCCTACATACATATCACATCAGTTGCTCAAAAGAAATAAGGAAGAAAAATCTGAATTTTCATTATTTCCTCTTGCTTTTAAATCGAAGGATGCTTAGTTGTTTGGAGGGCTATATTTCCATAGTAACATAAAGAGCAGTTTCATCTGAGAAATTGAAACCAAGACACTTCGGACACAAAGGCCAATGAACTCCTACCAAATCGTGTTTTTGCGGTTTTATGTCGGGAATTATATGCACAAAGAAGGTCAATACATCAGTTCTTTGCACTGTAATATTTACAAGTCGATAATTACAACAACACTAATAATATAAGTAGTAATGATAGTAACGGCTACTTTGCTTCTGAGGTTTAAACGTCAGAATTCTAACGGATCATCCAGGAAAGCATCTAGTGTATTTAAAATTCTGTATTAGGCTTTTAAGTTACTAAATTACTGTCATTTACTCTAGATTATTTTCCTCTTAAGGAAATAGGACAGAATTATGAGACGGATATTCCCAATTCTCAGAATTACTGGACGGTAACACGTGCCTGTATAAATGCGGGTGCTGTTCCTCTTCGATTAATGACACTTAACGAAATATTCTAATTGCGAGTACAGAGTGGCAAGACGAATGGGAAGTACTGGGCTATTAACCGAATATAATAGCGAAATTTTTTAAAAAATAAGGAGAGTGTAGGCAGGTCTGGATCTACATTTGAAACCGAGGCTTTCAGATATAAAGCTGAGTGTTGGGCGTGCTTCGCTATGTGCCTACGTGGGGACCAGTATTAATGAAAAGTTCATAGGGAAATAATTTGTGAAGGCATGGACTGTATTCACTTGGCGCAGAACTAAGTCAGCAGTGGATTCTTACGAGGAGAACAATGAAATTTTGAGTTCCATAAAATGCATGTAATTTTCTTAATATCTCGACTATTATCACTTCCTCAAGAAAGGCAAAGATAATTATACAAAAACTTAAAAGTATAGTGCACCTAATGTTTTAATAAACAGTCATATACTGCAATATATTTCTGCCTATATGACAATATAGACATTAGACACAATTTATTACGTTTGAGTTAATATAAACAGTATATCAGTAATAGTGACCTCTTTGAAAGTACATATTCAGTTCCATTCTTTAATCATTTACGCCCTGAGCTCGGCAAACAATAGTCATTTACAGAGTCAGCACGAATACAAACAATAGCAACATGATAGCACAGGCCAAAACAAAGAAGAAACAACAAAAACAAAGAAAAATGGATCAGTTTAGGGTTTTAACACCCCGACAAGATTTTCTAAAAATATCTCTGAGCTTAGATTTGCCTACATTTGCCACTGAAACACAACTAGCTGAAGGGCAGAGGGTAGCAGAGCAAGTGAACAAGGTAAAGTTACCAATGTCACGAGTAGGAACCCGAAGTCCGACTGTTTCGAGGACAGAGGGGCAACTTTCAGTGCCACAAGAACATTTATTAATAAAAAAGAATCCAAGTGTCGACGACTGTTATGTAGTGTCTGCATATTTAATCTTTCCAATAAATTATCATAGTACTGCTCCGTATATTGGAAAAAAATATATTGTGACAAAGGGCTGCAAATTTTCTTCGCATGCGCTCAAGTTAATTTGAAACGTTAATCGTAGAGGAGTTTTGAGCAACAGAAGCCTGTTTCAGTTTAGATCTGACCAAAGCAAAATATAGCATTGGTAGACAGTCTAAGGAGAGAAAAGGAAAATGTTATTTTGTCAATTAGTCACAGTAATTTCAGTGCATGAGAAAAAAGTAAATCAAAATTACGAAGAAAATGAAGTTTGCAATCAATATGTACACCCAAATCTTTAATAAAAGCTCTTCAAACTACAAAGGAATTTCCGAATCTGTACTGATAATTCAGAATATTCGTCTTCCTGGTAAAAGAGATGATTTCGATTTTACTGAACTTAGGCTTCATAAAATTTGATGAAGGCCATTTATTTACACAATCCATATATGACTAGAAGGAAAAAATCCCCAGGTGAACTATTGCTCGATAGATATTAAGTTCGTCAGCAAAAAGGAGGCAGTTGGAATGATCAATTACATAAAAAAAGTAATTTATAAAATTATTAAAACTGACCCCTGAATTACGCCTGACTGTAGGACATAAGGCGAAGTAAATATAGCAGAATAATGTACACGAGATTGTCTGCTTGTTAAATAACTCAGAAACCACTTTAAGTGACCGGAAGATAATCCATAGGTATTAAGTTTATGTTAAAGCAAAGCATGTGGAAGAATTCGAAAGAAGTAAAAAGTAAAGAAAGTAGAGCTATCCCTGTAACAGGCCATGAAGGCCCATAGGGTTGTGAGATATTGAGAGTCCCACATTGTCTAGACAATCGGCTCAAAGATGGCAGTAAAGTTGTCAGCCTTACGCGCCGGCCGCCCTTTACTCCCCAGGAAAATTACTTATTAATTCCTAGTACTCATTTCTGTTAGAGGCTGAGTTGATCCCAGGACCATAGTGCGGCTAGAAGGATTAGGTCAGTTGAAAAAATCCAATTACCTCATCGGGACTTGAACCCGCGACCTTCCAGCTTGTAGCATAGTACCTCAACCAACTACGCTAACACGTGCCCTTGAAACATCATTAAAATCAAAAGGGAGTCAGTTTGACCCTGTGAACATTCTGAAGGGATAATAAAGTGAAGGAAAGTGACTAGGCTGGTAACAGTAGACTTAGATTTAGTGCGACCATGCTGTGAAGGGTCCAATTTAGATTTTAAAAAGTGAGAATCCTGCTCATGTATGACAAATACAAAGACTTTGGAAAAATTGTTGAGAATAGCTATGGGCATACAATTTCCATAACAGGCTGTTTTTCTTTTTCTTTTTGGAAAATAGGGAAAATAGCTGCTTGCTTCCACAAGTTGTGGAAAGTATTCTGAGGTGAGTTAAGTTTAAAAACAAATTTGAGAACAGGCACAATATATAGGCCCTACATATAACTCCATATATCAGGGCCTTTATTCATAAATGTTTGGTTTACATAATGTAAAAATTGTAAATTTAGGACCATATTATGTATATTGTTACCTATCTCAAATTTCTTTACTAAGAGTTATCCTTCATTTGACTCCTGTATTAGGAAATATTCACAGAATTCCTTGAATGAAACTGGCTGTGTTTAGTTTACACTGCTTGAAGCGACAAGAATATCAGAAAATATAAGCTACTAACTTCGAGTGCTTTATAAGAAATACGACGTATGTACCCCATCGCGCCACTTAACAACATGAACGATTAGCCGTGCTGGTGCAGCAACTTCTCAGTCAGAGTGTTGTGGCATGTTGCCTATGCACCGGTCATCAGGCATATGGCTAAATTCTGTTCCAACTGTAGCGATAACACTAAGTTCACAGTGTCACTGTACAGAGCTGAAGAGAAAGGCAAATTAATGCGTGCATGCAGAGATAAAAACTGAATATGAAATTCTCCTGTAAGGTTATATATTTATATATTAATTACCTCAGATTTAATTGCAAATTAATTCCTGAATTAAGTTTTCATCTTATAATTGTATTTTTTTCCCTTGGCACTACAGCCCCAGTGGGCCTAGGCCTACCTCCATGAACTTCTCCGTTCACTTCGGTTTTTCTAGATCTTAAACATTCGGTATGACTCCCTGGGTGGGTGATCAGCTCGTCGCAAGGCCTATACCTGTACACAAACACAGAAAAACGCACACACACAAACTAAACATCCATTCCCTGAGTGGGATTCCAAACCACGATCTCGGTTTCCAAGCGAGCGAAGACAGTACATGCCTTAGACCGCTCGGCTACCGTTGACCGGCATAATTGTATTTAAGTGCTTAAATAATAATAACTATAATAATAGATCCATAGAGTTTACAATTGTAATTAACATTTCTCGACTTTCATCTTCATATTCCAAACGTGCTGAGTACATTTCTTCTTCTTCTGCCTTCCACGGGCCTGTTCCAATTTCATACCCATTTTCTGAACCATTTTCCTGTGCATCTTCACTTCCCCTTGGCGCGTAAAGAAGTCCAAGTTCTAGGAGTCTTCTCACAATCCACTATGTTGAAGTGGGTTAGCCATTTTGTCTGAAATAATCCATTCTTCCACATATGTAATTAATGTTGTCTCGTCCACTGAACTCATTCTTAATTTTGTATAAGAGAAAGTTTCTTTTAGTTTTTAAAACGTTTCTTATTGGCTGCAAAAATTATACTAACATATTCATTATTGTTGTTCATGGAGGTAGGCCTATGCCCACTGGGGCTGTAGTGCCAAGGGAAAAAAAATCATTATTGTTAATACAAATTTCATTTCTATGTACAAGTTTGGGAACAGCCATCATTTATAAAACTTTGAATTTATGGGAGTATATTATTTTAATTTTCTGTTTACTATTAAATTATCATGAGCTAGGGTAACGCAGTAAGTACAGCGACTGGCTACGGGCTGAACGACCTAGGGGTCAGAGTTCGAGTCCCGGTATGGCCAAAAATTTTGTCTTCTGCACACCTTCCCGAACGGCTCTGGGGCCCACCCAGCCTCCTTTCCAATGGTTACGGGGGACTTTTTTCCTTGGGATAAAGTTTCCGGGGAGTGAAGCTGACCACTCA